GAAAACTATCATTAATAGTAACATAAGCAGTAACAGATAATTCTAAGAAAAATCTATTTTTAACAATATTTTTATGTAATCAAAGTAAGTAACAATTCTCAGTCCACGGTAGCACTAGTCGAAATCTTTCGGATGAAAAAATAACCGTACTTTTTTCACATTCAAATTAAGTAACGATTTTCAGTCCATGGCAGAGCTAATTGAATACTGTCGTATGAAAAACCAACCGTACATTTTTCACATTCACAATAAGTAACGATTCTCAGTCCACAGTAGCACTCGTTGAAATCTTTCGTATGTAAACCTAATTCACTGTACATTTTTCGCATTCAAAATTAATAAAATAAAATATAACTGCCTCTGTGGTCGAACGGTTACCATGCCGGACTGCCACGCAGAGGTCCCAGGTTCGATTCCCGGACCGAGAGAAATATTTGTATGGCCTACATTTATTTCTCTCGTGAGTTTGGGTGTAACTTGTGGTTATCTATGTGTCTGTCCATGACACCCGCGACACAGGGTTTCCCTAGTGCGGGGCTATGTTGAATGTGTGCGTTATTATTATTAAAGTGGATTCTCGGTCACACTTGCACTAGTTGAAATCTTTCGTATGAAAAACTTAAGTGGACATTTTTGTAACTTTAAAAAAAGAAAAATAATTCTGATAAAAAAAAATAAAAACAATCCGTATTAATAATTTTAATTAATGAAAAAAACAATATTTGTTTTCTTATCTCGACTAAACTTAATTTTTCTGCTGTCGTCTGGGACATTATTATTGTTAAAATCCTACCTCTGTGCTGTAGGTACATTTGTAATTTTCATTATTAAGACGTACGTATCTCGAAGATGGAACCAAAACACTGTTGACGTCATTCTTTAACGTATCATTCAGCCGACTCGACTGTCACTGCTGTATCAGGAACTCGAAATCCGTGACGTCTCTCTAAAGGGCACAGTACTAATCGTGGGCATACAATGTCATTGGTTAATTAAGCCTAGAAATCAATGGATTGAAGAGTTGAAACTTACTTTGAGCTACCGCACCGCCTACATTGTATCAGTAAGTACAAGAGGACCGACAATAGATAGACAATATTACAACGATCATTCTGGAACTAGTGTTCACTACCTAATTTCCGTGGCAATTTTTATTATTTAAATATACAAGTATATTACACGATACGGTAAAAAATCGAATACTTAAATAATAAAAATTGCCACGGGAATCAGGTACCTAATGGACACTATTTCGAGAATGATCGAGAAAGTAGTGCACTATTTACAGATACTACTTACAGGTACTAGTTTTAACAGCGGAATACCAAGCGCTCTACCGCCTACTTTTCGGGTGTGTAATGTATCACATAAATATTATTAAACCTGACGCCAATTTTTTAAAGTAAATTCAATAGTAACGAGGCCGTAAGCCGAGATCCAGTGGAAGGCGAATCCGAACTAACCTAACCTACTAAAGGAGAGGCGCATATTACAGGTAAAAATTTGTCAGAATTGACAATATATGTATAAAACAATTGTTATATAAAAACAACTTTATATAAAGTATTCTTATAACATGTGTAATAATATTTACAAACGAGAATCATATGAAATTAATTTAATTGTGTTTAATTGAAAATTATGTTCAATTAACGTTTATCTATTAAAATGACTTGATTTTCACACAAATGAGGTGCACCCATATAATTTGATTCAAAATATCGTGTTCTATGTTGTATGTGATTAATCAATTTGTCGGAATAAAGTAGTCAATATTGAGATTTTTTGTGAAATAACGTAACTAGTTTATATTATGAATACAAAGATCGAACACAATTTTTTTTTTCATTTGATCGAAAAGCGACATCTGCGTCAGTTGCGATACCTGTAAAGGTATTCGCTGCGTTGAGAAGGTTAATCAAAAATCTCTCACTAGATGTCACTAGCGACAACGAATGCCGAAACTCAGTACAAAGATCTGTACCAAAAAACAGATAGGAGAATTTGGACAACTCGGTAACTGGATCCGTGACCGCAGCAATGCTACAGTGCAGCATGATCGTAGGATAGAGTCTCACCGGGTCGACAACATTTTTTGTATGTTGGATCTTTATAATCATAATAAAGTAAGTAAAGATATAAGATAAGTAAGGGGGGGCTCTAATTTTAAACAAATCCAGCTTATTCTACCACAGTTAGCCTGCTAATATGATTTTTACGGCTTTAATGTAGTAAAAGCACTTTTGATCTACGATACATGTGGCCTTATTTAAACCAAAGGTACGAAATATTTACTATAACAACTAATTGTCGAATAGTGCTTTAACAAATCATATAATAATAATAAAGAAAATTTCAAGAAATAAAAATTATTTTCATCGAAGTTGAAAGTTACGATTTTTTTTAATTACAGGCACATGGGACTTGTCAACTTATGTCCCAGGGTGTCGGGCGTAATGGTAGGGCCCCTCGGATCTTCGTGATTTAAAGCTCTCTCATGTCGCTTACCATCACGCATACGACTTGTTCGTACCGTCACTTAATATTACAAAAAAAATCTTTCACAAGGAGCAGAACTCTACTGCTACTAACAACCTCTACGCTGCATCCTTAATATCTTGTCAGGGAATATAACACACTGCATTCAATTGTATTTCCGTTTGCTTAGAATCCTGATGTCTTCAGGGGCTGGATAAACTGACAGCAAACTGGTCCATTGACAATCTCGACTTAACAGTCCTGATTGCGGTCAAGTGTGAGTAATTTTTTAAAATGTGATCTAATATAAATAAGTTAGGATTTCTTAACCTATTGATTTGTAAGCAAACAAGGAAACAACACCTCTCAAATCATTTCGAATAATTTTAAGAGTGAAACCGCATATACTTACATTGTTGTATACAATTTATGGATAACAAATAATGAGTCATATCGTCTCATCTGCCTAGTGGAAAAGTATCTTAAGTCGCTGTTTTATTACTTACATTCTCAAGACTCGTACTGCTGGGCCAGCAAGGTTGTTTGTTATGTATAGTGCATTAACGAAGAGCGTAAAGAAAGAAGTCGTAGTGTAGCTGGGGTTTCTAAGCGGCATGTGCCTCCCGCATGCAATGCCCTTGGAAATCCCAAACGCGCTCGCGACGTCTCCTACAGCATGTTACGACACCGCTTCTGAACGACTACACATCGAAGAATAATGGAAGAAAGAAAACTGTTGAATTTTTGCTTTTATGCAAATAATTTTCCCACCCTCCCAGTGGATAAAATTAATCAAATAAATGATACAAACTCGACCTAAAAATTACCCATTTTTAGGTTAGTTTCCTCTACCTGATTTTGGTGGCAGTTTTTATTACTTAAGTGTTCGAGTATATTTACTCGAATAATATATACGATAATACTTTTTTAAATATTTTAAAGATGGCTACCACCTACAATGAATATTAAATAATACTTCATGATAAAATTGTAGAATATTTGAAAAATAAAAGTTGCCACCGAAATCAGATAGGGAAAACTACTCCGAAAATTACCCAACTATAGTATGTCTTTTTGAACTTGTATCATTTGAATCATCATTGACCCATTATTCGTTTAACTACTGGGCACAAGTTCATTTGGATTGTCCATTTTTGTAAGTTCATACATACATACACTACATTTAGAATTATATTTATTAAACGATACAAGGAGAAGACATATTTTAAAGTTTTTCATTTTAAATCAATTCAGATAATCTAATTCGCCTGTCCTTATTAAAATGTATATGAATAAAAATTGATTTCGAAACTAGTAGGCCAATGGTCAAAATAGGAATAACGAAGACAATAACGCAATTAGTACGTATTAGAAAGTAGTAACATTCACAATTCAGACTTTTTTGGCAAAATGTTTCCCTCTTTCACAATCTATCGATAAAACTGTTGACAGCTACACCACTATTTAAGCATTGATGAAAACTGGCAACCCTGCAAATGTCATTATACTCCGTTATTACCTAATAATGATTTTTTTATCCCACTCTATAAGTTTATTATAAGTACGGTAGAAAAAATTTAATTCTTAACATCCTATTTATGTAAGTAATTACTTAATTTGAATTTGTTCTAAGTTCTAAGTTTTTGTTTTGTTTTTATTAGTGTTAAAATGTTTTCGACTGAAGGACTTTGTATCCAGGTCATGCAACAAATTAAAAAAAAATTACTCCGTCTTAAAAAAATACTATACAGTCACAACACGACCACAAAAAATATGGCCATGGCTAAGTGTTTCTCCTCTATACGAACCCTCCTCAGGAGTTACTTGTTGATAGAAAAAAAAATGTTTAATTTGCCTCAAGTATTGTTACAATTTGTAAAAACTTCTGTATTGTTTTAATTTTACTTCACTAGTTAACTATTTCTCATATCTGATTGAGACGATCCAGGTATAAACTTCGTAAGAAACAGGAGTTTATTTTTTTATGTACCTTATTCTTCTATGCAATAAAAAGTAGTTGTATTGTGCTATTTGCATACTACTAAAGCAAATCCTTAACTTTTTCAAGGCAGTTGCCACACTTATCGACACAATATGCCATTCGCATCGGCGCGCGGCGGTCCGAAAGGAAGCGAAACTCGAAACGTCTTTTTCGCTCTTATTACATGAACATACAGCTCTTTCTAACCGGATTAAGGCGATTCGGTGTCGATAAATATGGTGACTCCTTTACACGCAATGGTAAATGACACGTTAAAAAAGTTAAACGCAATATTGTAAAATTACAAAATTGGCATACTTCTATTTCATTCGTCGGCAAATTATAAATTTGTATATAAGGATGCTTAAATAAATAAAAACACCATAGTCAATTGTGTAATAATCTTAAGAACATTCCCTGAACTCCTTTATTCAATTTTAAATCTGCTTCATTTAGTAACAGAATGTACCGATATGTCTACAAATAACTAGCTTTGGTTACAGGCTTATGAATTGAAAGAAGTAATACATGTACGTCAAAAACATTTATTAAATTACACTTAATCCCAACTATCGCTTTCTTTGAAAGCGGACACGCACGCCGATTTCGCGCTGCTGTCAAATTTATCAATAATCTTTTTATCTTTGTCCAATCCTTTATCTTTATCTTTCTTTTCAAGTCCCTTTTCTTTTTTATCTACAATTTTTCGATCCGTACTTTTACTCGTTTCTTTGTCTTTTTCTGGATCTTCTTTCCGTCGACCATTTTGACTGATGTCAGATTTTTTTCGAAGAATTTCCTTCTTCTTTTCGTCGCCTGAAGTAGACTTGAGCAGCTCGGATTTCTTCGGCGGCGGTTCTGCCTCGTCAACCTGCGCGAAAACAGTACAGCCATATACAAAAAAATATAAAATTGATCTAATAGTGGCACATCACATAGCTATTTTGTATTTGCGTATTTGATATATTTGGCAAACAATTACCATGTGTAGATAGCATGTGTGACTAAAATTAGCCTTGTTTAAATACAGCAAATACCAAATTCGTATTAACGCGCCCTTCAAAGGAGCCAAATAGATAAATACGCAAGTAAATCATCCACACCATGGTCACAATCATTATTTTAACTCCTTATTTGACTCCATGTGTAGACGGTCATATTTCCTCGCCTTACTTTCTCAAACTCGTATCTTAAAGCACAAAGTAACTGAAATGCAAAAAATGCTTTGTATACACGAATTTTGCAGCCAAAGTCAAAGTCAAAGATTATTTATTCCATAGGTAAATTACACTTGAAAACGTCACATTTAAGCTACTGCTCGTTCACTACGCTGAGCTCCCTGAGAAGAACGAGCAAGAAACTCTAGGGATTGCTCTTTCCCAATAAACTTAAATGGAATACACTTTGAATCAAATTTGTGTGGATTCTGGAGCCGTGTCGTCTCTCCATACATCTTTATCTAACACGTAGTCTTCAATTTACTGCCTCCGTGGCCGAACGGTTACCATGCCGGACTGCCACGAAGAGGTCCCAGGTTCGATTCCCGGGCCGAGAGAAATATTTGTATGGCCTACAATTATTTCTCTCGTGAGTTTGGGTGTAATTTGTTGTCTATGTGTGTGACCATGGCACCCGCGACACAGGGTTTCCCTAGTGCGGGGCTATATTGAGTGTGTGCGTTATTTAAAAAAAAAATTTGTAATATGATTTTTCGATCAAATAAGCAGCCTGATTTCACACACATTTCCTCATATTTACACACGAGCTTTAACCTATTCTTAAAGTAATGCATCCTAATTAACACCCTTGATAAGAAATTTAAAATTAATAGCAAGCTTTGCCAACTCCTGAATAATCACTCTTTATAAGATACGTGTTTGAGAAAGTAAGGCATCGATTTGTCATTGTTTGCACGTTTGTAAATATTTTTCCAAGTACAACAAAATCCCAATAGCGAACACAAATAACTATGTGAAGTGCCACCAATACTAATTCCAAGGCACAACACGACAAGTGGACAATTCATTAGAAAATTCAGTGTATTTAATATTTTAAAGGTCTTCTTTGTTTCAAGTGAAAATTATTGTAATCGTTCTTTGTGATAATAAATCGACGTTGATATACATAATATACTTTTGTTTTAATCATACTAACAACATCATTTGTTTATTTATAAAGTCGCAGGCGATTTCTAATTATATTTTACTTGGTATTAATTTATGTACAACAAAAATGTTGTCGATGAGCTCGGTTATAGTAGGAATGGTGTTTTTACAGTCAACTAAATAATAAATTAATAAATAATAAATCTGTCTATTCTAATCCCAAAGTAATTAATTAAAGCTCTTGTGTTATGGAAATTGGAAACAACGACGGTACCACTAACACCCAGACCCGAGACAATATAGAAAAGATAATTTTCTACATTAACCCAGACAGGGATTGACACCCGGAACTTCGGAGATTGCGACCACGGAGGTAGTCTTTTGTGCCTGCATGCATTGTCAATACTTATTTACTCACTTGTTGAATTTTTACCAGTAGGAAACTGTTTGTGTTCTGTTGTTAATGTAGTTTCGTTTATACTACGATACAAGATATTTTTACAAAGTGAAAAGCGTATCAAGCTGACACTTAAGATTTAAACTCAACTTTACGTGCTTTGCAATACGACCGCTTCAAGACTCGATACAACCTCAAACGGCTTTGGTTGATTCGGCATAACAGTCAAAGTGTTGAATCAATTATTTTGGAAAAAAATATACAGTAGAATTGAGGATAAACACTTGAGACTATATGATGAGAAAACACGATTCCTAAAAATTTTCACGATAGAAAAAACACAATTTTACCTCAAAATTTTACAAGAAAACCACGTATTGACTTTAACTTTACATATAAACTTTGACTTACAATTACATACAATGGACGTCGGGTCCGCGCTAAAAAATGTCCGAACTTATAGGGCGTTAAAATCGTATACAGAGCCTCATTCACGCTTTAGTCTTCGTTTGTTCGACTGACAGCGAAGCAAGCAAAATTAGACAGTACTGCGATGACATTACAATTTAAATTCAACGTTTTAGCTTTTTCATATTCCTTTACATGTCACTACGTTTAAATAGGTTGACTTGGGACATTTTTTCATGGTTTTTGTATTAGACCCGTCGTCCATTTATTTGTAAGTCAATGCATATAAAAACGATTTTTTTTATATCAACTCGTTATAGTACACGATATACATTTTATAAATGGCTTTAATTACGTATGTAAAAAAACATTTTGAAATAAAGCCAGAGTCCCTGTCGCTCGACCCAAGCAAAATGAACCGTGTTTGTTAATTCGAGTTGAGATAGCATCGACTCTTAGGGTCGTATTCCAGAACTCTACTCAATGCTCAAGTTAGGATTTGACCAGACTTGAGTATGATTTCAAGCACTGGAAATACGACCCTAATGGCAAGGACTTGAGTGTGATTTTCAGTGCTCACTGCAATACTCAAGTCCTGACTTGAGCATTGAATAGAGTTCTAGAATACGACCCATAAAATGTTTTGACTATATAACTATATAAGATATAACTTTTTAAATTAGTACACAAGTATATCACCTGGAAGACACCTGAGGAAGTCCGCTTGCGCGTAGTGGGCTGCGGCAGCGAGGAGGACATGCTGTTGGAGCGCGGCCGTTCCACTCGTTGTCCCAGCTGGGTCCGAGACGCGGAGGATGAATTCACTGTCAATCGTTATTACTATCGATTGAAGATCGCGGCTTATACCTTGATTATACTGAATTTGAGCTACTCTCCTGATGAAGTTTCAAGTTTCTCCAATAGCAAGCAACACATTAGCTTTTGTTCAATCTGATCAAGATATTTGCTGCGATATGTATCTTTCCTACTCAAACAAAAATGTAAGATTGCCTGGAAGAAATTGCTACATAGCAATAAGGCCGACTGTTGCATATTAACTTACTATTATTACACTTAAGTTGTTGTATTGCATTTAAACTGTAATTGTATGTGCAATAAAGAGTATTTCATTAATTCTTTCATTCAAATATTAAAAGGAAGAGTTTATGTGTTGATTATTGCTGGTGATATCAAATGTAATTCACACTGAATGACAGTTGTTCTCGAATAGTAATGTTGGTTGCAAATAACTTGGTTTTAACTAGCTTTGACTAAGTGTTATAAAGATATTTACTGAAACATAAAGTGTTGGAATTTGGTAACAAACAACAACCTGCTTTTGCCTCCTGCTACTATAAAAATAATAATATGTTGTTCCAAAAAAAAAATTACCATTTATATGTAGCTTATGCATATGTAGTTTTTTGTTTTTATAATTTTGTTCTGTTTACATTGGAGGCAATAAAGAGAGATTTTATTTATTATAGCAATATAAATTGGTAATTGTACTCAAGTTTTTTTTAAGAACAAAAGTCACAATAAAAATGGCCTCTTTCACAGAGCTAAGAAAACAACAGAATATAGTTATTTTATGGTCAACTCATGCTTTTAGTACCACCGTTATCGGCAGAGGAAGGTTCCTCTATTCGCGTTTAATGTTTCCTATAGTTTAGCAAGAGTTTGTGCAAGTTAAAGCTATCTAAGTTTTAACATGGAAATTAATTAATTTCTGAAATAAGTATAAATAATAGATTGGATATACTACGAAAATTAATAGAGGATCAAATTGTGACATACCTAGACGCATTCTTGTTGCATCTGGTGAGTTTCTGAAACAAAATATATCCCATAAATATCATGCATTTGACGAATGGGAACATTTGCATTTGACGAAAAGTGCACTGCGCAAATTATTGTATGTATCTGCTAAATATCAACATTTTTTCTATGATACTAAGTGACGGGCGAACAAGTGGGACTGGTGGTAAGCGACACGCCCGTCCATAGTAGTTGCAGTGCCACTCAGAGCTTTATATCGCAAAGATCTGAGGGGCACTGCCACTGCTCCCGTCACCCGGAGACATAAGTTGACAAGTCCCATGTGCCTGTCGGCACACCGGCATACTTACCCTTCAAACTCGGAACGCAGTGATGGTCACATTACTGCTTGGCGGCAGAAATAGGTAAGGTGGCAGTACTTCCCTGGACGAACTCTTTCACAAGGAGCTTTACTGCTTCTGTTACTGCTTCAACCAATAAATCAAGCAACTACTAAAAACATCAAAATTTAAAATTTATTTTAATGAATATCATAGTGTTTTTACTACATTGAACAAAGACGGACTAGAACCAGTTGCCACACAGCTCTTACCAACTGAGCTACAGGCCGAGGCAGCACAACCTACGAATTTTGTCTAAGTGTAAATCTTTGTTTAACTGCCTCAGTGACCGCAGGGTTACCATGCTGGACTGCCACGCAGAGGTCCCGGATTCGATTCACGGGCCGGGAGAAATATTTATGTAGCCTACATTTATTTCTCTCGTGGGTTTGGGTGTAATTTGTGGTTGTCTATGTGTGTGTTCATGGCACCCGCGATACAGGGTTTCCCTAGTGCAGGGCCATGGTATTAAAAAAGGCTTTTTTCCGCTAGCATATTACGAGTATATGTATATTAAGAATCAGCACATATATTTCATCGGCGTAAATGACCCGGAGTTGACTTTTCCGAAGGGAAAAACGGTACACATTTTTACCATACAACGCCCAAGAGGTAAAAAGGTTACAAATTAAAAATCATAATTTTGTGATTTGTTTAAGGCGCATACAAAATCCGGGAACTAGGGCAACAAAAATCACCATGAAGTTAGCAAATGTTATTTTTAACGAATGGTCGGCAGGTAAATCATAAAAGTTACATATTTACTTGCCACATTAATAATAAAAGTAATAAAAGATTTCTATTCTATTCTATTCTATTCTATTCTATTCTACATTTGCCGTTTTTGAGTTAGTACAATTATAACTTTTTGAGATGTACACTAGTTGTTTTTAATATTATTTAACTATAATGTCTTTAAAAACTTTAGTAATATCTAAACTTTTAACCATAGTCTTAACTCTACGACGACGAAATCGTTTTTTACTACTTTTAGAACCCGTCTAGGTTTACCAGGCAAGGCTAGATTTAATTGGAGAGACTAATTCCTGACACCAGCGTCGCATTCACATGTCGTAGAGACACCAGAGGTCAGCGGGGACTTTAGTTAATCTAAAAAGGTTTTTTTAACGGGTAAGTTGCTATATTATGTATAACTCTCTTACAAGGAGCTCTACTGCTACTACATATATGACTGTCAAACGCAACGTGTCAGACGGAGAGTTCGTATTCTTTTGTTTTTTGGTTGTTCAGCTGATTAAGTCATTGAATATCAACGATTTGGCTGAACTGGTGTTTTAAAGAAAGCCTCGGACTGGACCTTTGTTTTTCTTTTTAACCGACTTCAACAAAAGGAGGAGGTTCTGAAATCGACTGTATGTCTTTTTTTTATTTGTATGTACGTATGTTACGCGATAAGTTGTGAAGCGATTTTGATGATTCTATTTTTGTTGAAAAGAGGGTACCTCCGTAGTGGGACATTCAAATTTGAAGAAAATATTCCACCTCCAAGGGTGGCAAACTAAGGGATGAATCCATTTTTGCGCACTTTCTGGTAACCGATTTCAATAAAATTAAGCAAATAGATGTAATTCCACGATTTTTTAAGGTAGATTTTTTTATAAAAAACGTTTATTATTTTATACTTTTTCTTATTATTAAAATCCCATGCAACGTGGCTATACATTTACAGCAATTAACCTCCCATTTTCAATTACTAACAACATAAATCGGACAAAGTAAAGTGTAAATTACCGCCTTAATAACAAGCCCAGTGGCTCTCTAGCCGCCATATCAACATCAGTGTTAGGCAATAATAAATACATCGTCCATGATGAAGCGACTCATCAGAAAACAAAAGTAACGGACAAGTCTTTGACAACATGTTTCAACGTCATGTTATAGACCAATAGTAAGTCATGTTCTCTCTCCCTTAAAGCATGTGCGGTGTACATTTATTTAAAAAAAATGTTTCTGTAATAGTCTATGTAGGTTCTCCGTCGTTGTGGGTTCTCGTCTCAGTGAATTCTGTCGAAATTCACCGGTCAATTTTCGAGTAAAAACGCGTGTGTTCTTCAACTTGATATTGGCGAAATCATCGATTACTTCGATGGGGCCATAACATTTAAAAGAAGAAGTCATGTTTTAAGGTAAAATTCGAGAGAAAAAAGCTGTCTTTTTCAAATAAACAATCATTATAATAAATATTATTATACCAGCACATTTATCTACAATGTTGATTGTTAACATAAATTATTGAACATATAGTTGATTATTACTAGCGTTGGGTCACAAACAACACATTTGTGTTTATGACAAGAAGGGCAGTATGTACGTCGAGGTCCACCTTATTATCATAATTAATGTGCGACATCGTCGAGGATAATGCAAAGGTGCGTATGTGACATTGGTAAAAAGCTCGTATCTTTCACGAGATCAAATATTAAAGGGGTACAACTTTTATTTTTGCAAAGGAAGCATTAATTTATTTACGGACTGATAACAATAGATTCCAAATCAGTAAATCAGGCTAATTTGGTTGCCACGACATTTACGCGGATTTGATGTGGCCACTAACTTACCGAAATGGCAACTTCATAACGTATGCTAGTTACGCGTAATTGCACAATCTCCTACGATATAAATGGATAGCGCAATGACGCGCTAGCATACTCATCACAATCAATCTCAACTTTAGTTAGCTGGTTCAAAATAATAAGTTAGAAATTATTATATAGTTTGTACACTGTGAAACTTAGAGAATTCAAAATGCAACAGAGTGGCGGGTGGGCGAGTCGCTGGACAGACGTCGTCGCAGTGATCGAGAGGGAGCATCCGCGTCGTAATTAAGCGCACGCGCATGTCAGCAGAGTTTGAGTTTAGAACTGTATTCATTACGTTTGGATACACCTAATGATGGAGACAAGTTTTTGTTAGAGACTTGAGAATTTGCAATTCATTTAAACGAATCCATAATTCTTGGAATGATAATATTTTTATACATAACTCATGTTGCCTTATACAATTTAATGATGAACATTGTCTAAAATTTCGAAGTCTTCGCTACCAAATTAAACAGATTTTTGCAGCCAGAAACATTGAAATTCTTCCCGGCGGGGCTTCGAACGTGCTTCAACGTAATAATAAAATGCCACGGGAAGACATCCAATTATCGAGCAAAAATTGTTATAATTCAACCAGCTCGTGCAATATTTATTAAAAATTCGAAAAGAACTGTTTATCAACTGCATTCCTTCCAGATGACGAGTCGTAAATGCCTTCAGTTTTGTAATATAAATATACACCATTTTTTCTTAATTACTGCGCGACGAATTTGGTATTAAAAATCTCGATGAGAAATGAATATATACATTAAAATTTGTTGCTTATGATGTTAGTAATAAGACTATTTAGTAGCTGTCGAGCTCCTTGTGAAAGAGTTCGTCCAGGGTAGTACTGCCACCTTAACTATTTCTGGCGTCGATCAGAAATGTGAGCATACTGCATTCCGGTTTTAAAGGGTAAGGGTGCTGGTGAAATTACAGGCATATGGGCTTGTCAACCTATATCTCAAGGTGACGAGTGCAGTAGCAGTGCCCCACAGATCTTTACGGATTAAAGCTCTGAGTGGCACTGTAACTGTTATGTACAGGCGTGTCGCTTACCTCCAGGCCTTTAACTTCTTCATCACGTCACTTGGTATATCATTAAAAAACTATTTTACTAACATCACTGCTAGGCTGTTAGTATTTTACTAACCATATGTGTATATACTTTTTTTTAACTACATGATATTCGAATATTTTGTACCAACGTCTGAACTTACTACATTACTATCCTAACCTTTTCTTTGGTAAAAAAGTTAGGAAAAAGACTGAAAGAAAACCAAAATAAAGGAACAAGGATCAGGCGTGCTAAGATTGCCAGGAGTTAATACGTGGTCGTAGAGTGAAATCTCGCATACGGATTTTTACTTACGAGTAGTTTGTTTTTACTGATTTCTTTGAAGCAAAATTTATAAACCTCTTGCTTAAATATATTATTAAAGTAATATCGTCTGGGTAGTGGAATTACGCGTAACTAGCACTGGATTATGAGTTTCTATTTCGGTAATTTAGTGGCCAAAACAAATCCGCGTAAATATGGTGGCAATCAAATCAGCGTGACCACAGATTACTTAATAGTGGCGTGATTTACGGGAATCCATTATTATCAGTCTGCAGACGATATAATTAATGCTTATTGTTCTAAAACGAAAGTCGTAGCCATGTAAATAACAAAGTAATAAAGTTAAATCTCTCTCCTTTAAAATTTAGTGCACAATCAATATGAAAACGCTAAATAAACGTTTAGGTTTCGTATTATTTGAGATTTTAAATATTGTTCACAGCAGATGTTAACATTTATTAATTAGTACTAACTTTGTATACATGTCTGTGAACTACAGGCTGAACTACCCATGTAATTTATACTGTGAAATTATTCACTTTACTCTGTATTATATACTTGCATAAATAACTACTAAAATTATCGTGTTTATGATATTTTACATCAAAATTTGGTCCTCATTCTGAAAAATTACATCGAAATCACAACGACGAATAAGAAGCATTACGGTATTAAATAAACATAAATTACACGAAACATATGTAGAAGAATAAATTTCTATACAA